GAATCACTGGGATAACTGCTGGCACTGTACTGTACTTGTAACTCACTTGCGAAGCCATCTTTGCTGCCCTTTGATCGATTTTATCACTTGGAACCGTACTGTTAACCATCTGAAACAATTCACCTATTCAATTACATTTTCTCTTACAGTCAGTTGTCACATCGGGTTACTGTTATGAAGAGCCAGCGCTTGCTTTAGTGGTTCCTTGTCATGTTATAGACTCCGCCCTACGTTTTGGACTCAGTGTGGGATGGGCATCATCGTGGATCCCACAAAATGGAATGATGGCGAAGAGGAGTTCCAAGAGAAATGACGACAAAACAAGAATGCTGCCATGAAATAGCAGGAATACATAGTGGAGACAGCTCCAAAAAACTAAACAGAAAAGCAGCTGTGAGCACTCGGGGCATGTTCTAGAACTAGTAGGGTTTTGAAAGGTCCGTGGTCCTATACATTATTTTTGCTTCTGGGTACGGTAGCGGGTGCCACCTGACCAGCTTTGGCCTCAACGTTGACACGACATTGAGAAAGAAGTAATAGAGTTGAGCAAGATGTTAGCCTTCCGCCAATACAACTCAAGCTTTTGGACGATTCTCCATCCACTTCAGTCAGTCCGGCAGCTGGAATCTTGGTCATGGTGACAGACGCTGAGGTGTAAAGGGGAAGACAAAAAAGCTTGGAAGATTTAATTGAATCGATCAGAGTAAATTTTGGGCTTCTTCCATGAGGTATAAGAAGGAAATTTTGATGTTTGGGGCTCTAGAAGGTTAAGCCTGGTTATAGCCCTCAACTAAAATAATCACCTTGTCGAACTCTGCATATGGAGGCTCTGTCATACCGGTTAGTTGAAAGATGTCAGTAACAATGATCGGCATACTGTGATCCAATTGTTTACGGTTAAATGCTAGTTATTGCTGAAAGGCCCAAAGAATGTCTTATTTCGGCTCGGTGATGAGAAAGAGTAGGTTGCTTTGATACGTGTTGCTAGATGCGTTTGTGCTCCCAAGCTATCTAGAGTTTCAGAATGCAAAGGAGGGCGGTTTGAAGAGCTGGTGACTGAGGAACTCAATAACTGTTCTAAAGTGGAAGGCAATCTTGAATTCATAAATATGGCTGGTCAGTTGATGGTTTCATGCGATTGGTTTGCTTTATCTGGTGTGGACTCGATACACTTAAGCTCACAGTTTGCACACCGCCAGTGAAAATCTCGTGAAGAAATGCCGCTTTCTTGAGGGAGGTACTCGAAATCAGTGGGGTGGTAACGGTCGCGTAAGATTTTTCCGAGCATAATGACGGTTTCTGGTGCCATCCTCAAAGTATTATATTTGGAACGCTTGTCTTCAGTATCAACTACAGCTGAAGGGGAACTTTGAAGTATCTCCTTCCCAGAACACAGTAAGGAACATTTGTTCGATGCTACTTTTCCCACAACCACCCTCACTATGTCTCGCCTCATATGAACTCTACTTGTTTACGAGGAAAGTTGTATCTTGTTCGCTTCTAGATAGAGATTCATTCTATCCAGCTTTCTCCGCAGTACTGCAAGGTATTTACTTCCCTGGAAGTTGTCTGGAGGTATCCCCACTGCATGTATGATTCGGGATGGCAGACGTAGCACCGGAATCCTCAAGGTCGTAGGCAAGGAAGTGGCGTGGTTCCGTGGCATTTACCGTAATAATTAACTGCAAACCCAAATATTACTCTTCAATTGCGCTCTCCGATACGCGGCGGATGCGGCGAAGCTGATATGCCGCGTCCGCTGCTGCCGCCCTACCCATGCCTCCGCTGCGCTGCATCTGTGGATAGCTCAGGCGGTGGTCGAGCTAGCGTGATGCTTGCCAAGAACTTTGCAGGTTCGCCTGCTCGCACTCCTCTATCATAGGGGCTTGTAAGTCCTTTGCAGGTAAGATGTTTCACACCTTTGCTATAAGTGCTCCTGCCTCCGCGGTAAGGCTTAAGACCATTGTTCTGTAGAGGCAGGGGCAGACCCTGGGGATGCCTGCGGCCTGGGCCTGGGCCTACGCCTACTTCTACAAATCTTGTGTACTGGGTTGTATTAAAGGGTAGAAATGGCTGACACATCAGCAACATCGAACAAACAGATACATGTTGAAGGGCTAACAAGAAAGTGATACGAGAGTAAGCGACCAAATACATACGGACCATTAATGTGGTTTGACCGTTTAATGATTTCAACCACACCGAAATTTGCGTACTTTACGGTCCTTGCTCAAGCCTACATCAGGCGATCTGAGGCCTCTAGCCTACAGTGCCTCGGCCACCATTTGAGTCCACATCAACTGCGAGTCATACTCTGAAATGTTCCTTGCGTCGAAGAGTTGACTGCGTCTTCGTTAGCACCAAACAATAGGTCGAAGAGGTGAAGCGGTGAGGCAGGCAGAAAACACAGCTGGAGCTGAAGTGGGATGAAGGAAGGAGCTCGCGACCGCTATGAAATTGATGCAATATCTATCAGAGTCATCGCTAAGTATGAACGTGTGGTATTCTTTCGTTCCTCGCCTGCCACAGAACCTTCCTGCGAGACTACTCTCCAGTGTCACTTTTAGGACGTTGGAACGGTATGGCAAGCTGCGGTTAAGGGTGCTGCTACCATACGCATGGGATAGAAATCACATTCTGACATCGCGGAAATGTTCAACGAGACGGTCATATTTGGAAAGAGGGAAATTATGAGATTGGTAAAACTCTAATAGGAAAGAGGGCCAGAAGGTCGATTTGATCAAATTTAGAAATGTTCGTCTTTACGTTCGCCAACTTCGATGATATCTAGTACAGCACAATCCCAATCATCGCGCAAGTTTCGAGGGACGTTGCTGGCTTAGGGAGATGGCTCTCAGTAAAGAACGATAGAGTCACTGGGAGTACTGATACCCACCGTTTGCCAGCCTCTACCACCTTTCACGCTATGACATAGAATGATGTTGCTGTTTCAGAAGTTCCACTATCTATGAATTTGCTCGCTAGTGTTCAAAAAATAAAAGGAGCCCTTCGGATTGAAAACTCTCCGGCTTTCACTACATTTACATATCTATCAAAATTGCGAAGAATAGAGAACGATGGTGAAGGTGACTTTAATGATATCGGCATTTTCATCGTTCATAGTAAGCGGAACTATGGAATAGGCTGAGTGGATTGAAATTTTTCTTGATCTACACATGTATATTTCAGGGCCAGCACTAACAGTGGAAAATAATGAGAACCTTGAAGATATTGATTTTCCATCCTTGAAGTATTTGAAATCGAAAAATCCACCATGGATTGTTANCTCTACCACCTTTCACGTTGTGACATTAGAATGATGTTGCTGTTTCAGAAGTTCCACTATCTATGAATTTGCTCGCTAGTGTTCAAAAAATAAAAGGAGCCCTTCGGATTGAAAACTCTCCGGCTTTCACTACATTCCCATATCTATCAAAATTGCGAAGAATAGAGAACGCTGGTGAAGGTGACTTCGATGATATCGGCATTTCCATCGTTCATAGTAAGCGGAAGTATGAAATAGGCTGACTGGATTGAAATTTTTCTTGATCTACACATGTATATTCCAGGGCCAGCACTAACAGTGGAAAATAATGAGAACCTTGAAGATATTGATTTTCCATCCTTGAAGTATTTGAAATCGAAAAATCCACCATGGATTGTTATAAGAAACAATCCCGTACTTGTGTTGAGTGGACGGTTCGGGGAGAAGTTGCGTGACCTCAAACAGAAACACAAACAATTGGTTGTTTTGGACGACGCCTCGAGCATCTTGGAAAATGCAACGTATATAATGGATGGAAATATCACAGCAGGTGTTGGCAGTGATTCATTTAGTTTTGCTTTTTCTTCTGCTGAACAGCAACAGTTGACCCATATGTATTGCTGTAGTTCGTAGCGACCTTGAATTCGGGACCTGTTCCATTTTGAAACTTGAGGGGCTGATTTGAATAAATTCCCTGCTTTGGTCCTCCCAGGATCAAAAAATCGCTTTCCTGGAAACAAAGGAGAAAAATTCTAGCATCCGACTGGTGAGCACTGCGCATCCTACAGAGCATCCTTCAGCTCCAATGTGAGCTTCATACCCATCCGAAAACTGATTGACCTGGGAAGGAGCCGATGAGGTAATGTAAACAGCACCACAAATGCATAGAAGCAAATTCGTTTACTACGATCCACTACGTGGAAGAAAAACAATTAAAATTCAGTACGGGCACTCACTTCTTACCGTGACCTTTGCGTGAACTTTAATGCAACGGGAGCAGAAGTTCACCAGCAATAAACTTCATTCCACGACATAAAACTGTTCGAACAGACGAATTACCACCCGTCTTGGCATCGAAAAGGGGCCTTGGGCAAGGATGACAGCGTTTGAATTAGGTAGATGGAAGACCGCATTGCATCACGAGCATCGTTCGAGGCAGGACCCATGGCCAGATTATTGTAAGAGTCAAGTGCCGGAACTAACTGTTGGTTCCTGCATACCTCTTTGCTTTGCAGTCGAAGAAATGCTATCCGCTTTTCGTGTACATCCCTTACTCCTTTACTACCAAGATGCTTCCGCTAATGTCGTGAGACGCATATGGGGAGACCGTAGTTCGAGCACTGTGAGAGACAACTGCAGCACGGAAATTCGAATGTAGGAAACCCATGATTTTCAGATGCATCTTCGGATATTTATTCTGGGAGCAGGAACTGGATTTTTCTGGTGGTGGCAATATTGCTAGTTATACTTGTTCCTTTGTTATGCTGCGCGACGTTGTGTAAACTGAAAGGAAAGCAACTTTTCCGTTATGGAACTCGGATGTCCAATTTTTTACCATATGCAAACTACAATCTCAACGAGAAGCAACGTTTGGTCCTACGGTCGTTATGTGAGGTACACAACTTATTTTTATCTATCTTTTCCTTTTGGGCTGTGGTCCAGTAGGCGCTCTTCCGTGAAGGCTGGCTTCAGAGTTGGTTGGCTCTTTTCTTCCTGCTCACTCTGACTAGGAACCGCCAGTCATGGTTCGGAGGTTTATGCACGATATAAGATATTGTAGGATGTTTTGACAATGAACACACTTTTATGGAGAACAGAGGAAATGGAACTTTTGTGTCAACATGAAAAAGACTGTAAATGTAGGTTCCTGAGATGCTACTTGTTACTGAGACTATTCGGTCCCTATCAGCCCAGCACAGCATGATGATCGGGATTCCTTTCAGGCGAGAAGATAGAAAAGGTGCTAAAACGATACGAGAATATCATCAAAGAAAACATGATTCAAGTAGCTGAAGTAAGATTCACTTACTTCATACTGCTTCTTTGAACTTTCGATGAATGGGAAAAGAATGGACTATTTATGGAACTTGGAATGGACTCATGTACAGCTTGGGTAGTCATAGTCGGATAAAATATGTCATTAAAAAGTTGTAAAAAGATTGACAAGTGTCGTAATACCACATATAATACCACACACGCACAGGCCGAGTACCGAGTTCTGGATTGATTCTCGCCCACGCCAGCCAAGCCTCCCATTCCCCCAGGGTCGGTTAATTGGTACCAGATTTGTGTGGGAGGGTGAAAGCACTGACTTGTACGTTGGATGGTCTCTGCAAATATTGTACAAGCTTTACACCAATCCGAACCGACTACTACAATGTCACCGGTGCTTTCTCTAATTGTAGATCTATCGTCATCGGATTGTGATTAACCAGTGTTCAGCCATGATTTACTCTATAGCATACTGAAAGTGGTCAAGGGTGTTCCGTTTGGAACTGTAATGTGAATGTTAAGGCTCGTTTATTCAGAATGGATCACTTTCACTTGTGTTGGGAGACACTCCACGGGCATCCAAAAGCCAACGATTGATATCTGAGCGGATACAAAAAATGTTAGTAATGAAGCATGTAGTGCTCATCGGAACAGAAGATGATCCATCATGTGTGCTCCCCAAAATACCAACTACACCTGGCAAGGATAGAACGTATGAATGTAAGTCATCCCCAATTTTCATTCAGTTGTCTATGCTGTGCTACAGGAGGAACGAGTGCGAAAGGGCATCAATAGAGAAGATGGGTTTATAAGATTTTCTGAAAAAAAGAGCTGTCCCCTTTGTTACTAAAGCACCTCCCTCAGAAGAATGCGATTCCTTTTTCCCAAGTATTGTCCGATCACGAAATAGGATTTTGACTCCGGTTCTTAACTCTTCCTTCTGCGCCCGTCCGCTCTACACCGATAAAGCTGAGAAAAAAATGTCATGAGTATGGACATCAAGAAGCGGGACCCTGTTTCACTCCTTATTCGTTAGCCTCCATCTGAGACCTCTCTTGCAATCATTGTTTCAGACAGCAAAACAAAAGTTATTATCGTCGTAGCATGCTTACTGTATTTTCAGACGATACGACCAAAATGACACTTCGCTTCAAAAACTCGATGGAAGTCAGCAACAACTCCCGTCGTTTTGAGTACGATGCGGAGTTCACGAGTGAGAATAAAACAAGGCTATTCAAACTGGAGTTTGTATACTTCGTTTGGTACGTCCATTTAAATCAAGGCGTATTTTTTGCGGTAATTTGATGTGGTCGGAAAATGTGGTGATCAACAGCAAATGGTCGGTGACGATAACAGTATGAGCTCTGAGAAAGAACGAGAATAAGTCTTAGTTACGCTAGTTGAAACTAGAAAATATACGAGTTCTGCGAATAGCAGAGGCAGATTGATGATGTTCAGCGGTAGAGAAGGAGCAGAGGACGTGTGGGTCACCCAGCTGTTTTGAAGAAATAACATCTACTCTGCCGGATGCGGCACGCCGCTACTGTCACAGCATTTAAATGCACAGTTCACGATGGTTCTGAGGAGCCCGTTTTTATTCGAAGAGCGGAAGTAAAGATTAGGTATAATTCTTTGGTGGTGAAGAAAGCAAGAGAATTCACGGATTGCGAGAAAAATATGGCTCCTCAAGAGTAGAGAAATAGAGGTTGGACGAGATTGCCATGACGGAAATAACATGTAAGTGGTATTCGGACGAGACCATTTCGTCATGACAAGTTGTATGAACTTCCTACATGGGTTCCCTCGTGCTCGGTGCAGCCTCCACAATGTCGGTGAAACTCGTCCGAGGATACACACGGGCTAATCTTTGAGCNCAAGGCTAACAAGGCCGTTTCTCGACCTAATAGTGCCAGATATGGTATACGCGGGGCCTCAAATTCATCCTGTGGAGGAACATCAGAAACCATTTTTATCGTGAACTGTGCCTTTAAGCTGAATGTTAGTCCGCTAGTCGTGTCAGGACCCTACATGCTCTGTACACTAAAGATGAAAACGTTGAAGTCTAGGAATCCGTGTCGTTCTAAGCGCTATGAAGTGGGCAATGCTCAGAGTTTCTCGGTACACGCTAGTGTATAGGTAAACTCTAATCGAAGAAAAACCTTGTTCCGCATTCTTTTCGAAAAAAGGTATAACGTCTATTGGATTCAAACATCCTTATTTTTTTCTTCATTAAGGGGCAGCCTAGATTTGAATGTCAATGTGGAAGAACTGTTACGACTGCTGCAATTTTGTAAGATTCCCGGTCACTCCGTATGTATTATTTTGTGACAAGCAACAAACACAAATTCAGTAAATATAAAACGCTGTGATCAGAGAAATCACTAACAAATATCTTGGGAACAACTACACTCTAAAAAAACCCAAATTTTTTTAAGTCTTGAGTAACTTACTCCAATCCTGCTGGCTAGACTCGGAGTTGTATCGTTCATCACATGCGCTTTCAGACCTCATTAGATGACTCGCGTCAATGATATGATAAAAAAGTGGGCAAAACGGGAGTAGGAATGTAGCTGATCTGCGGTAGGGTGAATGTCGAATGATAGTAGAATGCGTAGTTCTTAAAAAATGAAAGGTTCTGGATGACTCCTGCGGTGAAACTGGCATATGCCGACACTTGGGGCTTCCTTTTAGCAGGTTGTGGTACGCTTCTCCTACAGTACTAGCTTCTCTATGAAAAAGAGCCATATGGCTTTATCGAAACAGGTGCTCTGGACGAAACATACCTCATCAGCTCTGGCAAAAATTGATGAAATAACTCAAATTGGAAAAGACTCCATTTTTGAGAGTTTATTTTCCATTCAGCTGTGTGTCAGCAATCGCCACAAAGAGGTATTTTCGTTGCTGAATCTTTTCTACAGTTTTGTCGTTCGAGCAGAAACTCCAATACAATTGACCGATGTGTTCAAAATTCACAATGGTACGTTGTTACGGTTAAGACTTCTAAGAAGTTCAGCCCTCCGTTCTCGATTTATTGAAGGGACGAGACCATTGAAATTTTCAGCAAAATGTAACGGTTGTATGCTAGACAGACACGAGATGATATTCTCCATGAAATTTTTGCTGGTTTGGGGTATCCAGTCTGGAGCTCTTCCGAAATTACATCAGGTAATTGCCGTATCTTATTCAACGTGATGCTTGCGACGGATTAGCAGCGGTTAGAAATAGTCCCTAAGAAGGTTTCCAAGACGTAGACTATCACCCTCGTTAGCGCTCTTGTAGGGAACTCCCTCTTCCATACGACAGCGTTCTGGCTCAGTAAGTTGTCCTTGAATCTTCTGCGTAAGGGAATACTTCTACTTCCTTCTAAAATCGACATCATGAGTGGTTGGTTCTGCTCGTTTCTGAGCTTTTTAACTTATTACCAATTTCAGGCTGCCAACTCCTGGCTTGACACATACGATGGAATGGCAGCGTTTCAGAAAATTCATCCCAACGTGTCAGTGATTTTGTAGCTGAAAATCTCGGTTCCCATTAAGCTTCTTCATGTTGAAAGTCATTTCAGAGTGAGCTTCCATCCATTCTTCATTCCTGATCTTTTCCCAGAGGATATGGAGGAAATCGTAAAAGGCGGTGGTTGCGATCCTCCAAAGTTCTCTGATCG